CCAGTGTGTTTTGATTAAAAAAAAAAAATCTGACGATCTTATTGAAGATGTCTTCTGTGTGTCATTTCTCTGCTCCCTTGGTTCTTTCACATGTATGTTGACAGTTTCATTTTAATKTGCCTCAGTGTGGGGCCCTGCATCTTTATCCTACTTGAAGTTTGCTGATCTTGAATTTGTAGCTTCGTTTCTTTTTTCAAATTCACAAAGGTTTCAGTCATTATTTCTTCATATCATCTCTTTACCCCCTTTTCTCCTCCTTTTGAGACTTCCATAATGTATACATGAGTCCACTTGATGGTGTTCCACAGATCTCTTCTATTCGCTTTTCTTTCTTCTTTTTTTCTTCTTCTCAGGATTGATCATTTCTATTTTCCTGTATTCAAGTTTGCAGATTCTTTCTTTGGCCTGCTAAAATATGCTTAGTTTGGTTATCAAACTTTCCAATCCTCCAAATTTTATTTTTCTTTCCTTTTTAAATTTCGATTTATTGGTATTCTCATTTTGTTCATAATTTTCTTCCTGTCTTTGTCTGTGTTTTCCTCAGCTCTTCACTATCTTTAAGACAGTTGTTCTGAAGTTGTTCTGTCTACTAAGTCCAACATCTGGGTTTCCTCAGGAAAATTCTGCTCAGGTATTTCATTCCTTTGAATAAGCTATGCTTTTATGTGTCTTTGTATGCCTTGTGATTTTTTTTAACTGAGAACTGGACATTTGAATTTTATAGTAATTTGGGGTTTAATGTGTTTGTTTAGTTTGTTTTGTTATGGTTGGATGGTATCAGCCATGTCAGGAATGAAGTGAAAGCTTAAGGCTTCCTCAGGTCTTTTCTGGGCATGAATCTTTTCCTGAGCATGCTTCATAGCCTTCTGACTTCTCCTAGGTATTCAGTTGTGTTTAATCCTTCAGTGTCTTAAATAGAAAAAAAAAAAGTGCTGCTCCTTGAAATCTTCTGGAAGCTGTTTTACCTGGTGAGGATTGTAACAACGTCAGCCATCCTCTGTGTCTGTACCTCAGCAATCAAAAGCAGCACTCAGAACACAGAAACTGGATATTTGGAGGATCAGGTCTTCATCCTCTGCCCCGGCTCCATCAAGCTACATCTTGGCTGCTTACCATGGGACTGGGGAGTGGAGGATGAATAGTAACTGCTGTCACATTAAAAGTTAATATTGACCAAAATTAACTGTAACTCACTAGTCAGTCTCTCTCCTGGAACCCAAACACTTTCGAATAAACTTCAGAATTTAAAAATAGTTACTTCAGACAGTTTTTGTCCATTCGATTGTTGTCTAGGTTGACAGACAGATTCCTGGCACTTGCTACTCTGCCATCATCCCTGACTCTCCCTTTCCTTCCCCCCTCATTCATTGTAAGATAAATTCTAATAATATAGTTCAATGCAGTCTATTGTTTATCAAGATCATCCTGTTTGGGGTTCTCCACTAGAGACTGAAGGAGAAGAGGAGGGAGACAGGCACCCAGTTCACCATTTCACATGGCTGATGGATGGTAAGAAGCTTCGGACAGACCCAAAGAAGATGAGGAAAGGCTGTGGATAGGAAAAAATGTATGGTAGAGATAGCCTCAGGGATGGAAGAGAGTTAAGGTGGGGCATGGGGATGACAGTGCAGTAAGCTAGAAAGAGTGGCTGGAAGGTTGGACACAGAGAAGCAGCAGCACAAACCGATGTGGAGGGCGGCATGCTGAAGCACACAAGGCATCGGGCTGTCTTCTGCTCCCGAGGTCCATGTTCTCCTGGATCCAGGACCTCCATTAAGTTGTGACCCTTTTCCTCTCCACCTACCCACTGACAGGTATAAAGATGGTAGGATCTAAGTGGGTCAGACAAATGTAAATCTAGAGAAAGCACTTGGTGGAAATGGATGGAACTGAAGGTGAAATGAATGAAGCTCAGTGACAACTCAGGGAATTAATTACATGACAGGCACAAATAACAGTCTACACTCCAAGGCGTATGATGTTGAGAGCCACAGCCGAAGGGGCCCCAGCAAACTTCCAGCTGCCGGCTGATGATTGGCTCACAGTGGCCCCAGCAACATCTAGCTGATTGGCTCCTCTGTGGTGATGCTCATTGGAGATGCTCATTGAGCTGTTTCCCGGCCCTTTCAGACTGCCAGCTGATGATTGGCTCACAGCGGCCCCAGCAACATCTAGCTGATTGGCTCCTCTGTGGTGATGCTCATTGGGCTGTTTCCCTTCCCTTTCAGACTACGGAGCTGCTCATTGGGGGACTTCTTTGGCTCCGCCCACACGACCCAGCCAATCAGCCTCAAGAGCAGGAGGATTGTGGGAGGTGGAGAGGCTTGTAGTTTTGGGAGAGGCTTGTGGGAAGCCGGTGGTGGCAGTTGGGCTCTGAGGGTTTTTCCTGAGGAGCTGTTTTGTTTGGCCTGTGTGGTTCTAAAAATAAAGTTTGTTTCTTTTGACAAGTGGCTCCTGAATTGTGCCTAGCCAGACTGCGGCATTTGGTGGCCCGTACGGGGAATGAACCCGCAACCTTGGCGTTATCAGCAAGGTCAGTTATCAGTTATTGGATCTTTTCTGATTCTTTTAGAAACCAGCCAAATTTATATTTTTAACTCCATTCCAGTCCATTTGGGGTCCTAAACCATTTAATATTTGCACCACTTTCTCGGAGTCTGAATCTGTGATCTGTGAGAATGTGTCTGGTCCTTGTTACATCTTGTACATTCATTTGTTAGAATGGCTGTCACAAAGTTTCACATACTGAGAGGCTTGAAAAATAGAGATTTATTTTCTCATGGTTTCAGAGGCTTGAAGTCCAAGATCAGGATGTCGTCAGGGCTGGTCCCTCAATGGATCCTAATGAGTCCCTTTTCCATGCCTTCCTCCTAGCTTCTTGTAGTTTGCTGGCATTTTCTGGTGTTCCTTGGAGTGTAGAAGCATCATCTTGATCTCTTCTTTCATCTCATAGCATTCTCCCTGTCTCCAGATTTCCCTTTTTATAAGGACACCAGTCCTATTGGATTAGGGATTCATTGCACCCCACTATATCTTCATCTTAACTAATTGCATCAGGAATGGCCTTATTTCCCAATAAGGTTACATTCTGCGGTACTGGGAGTGAGGACTTCAGCATGAATTTGGGCAAGAAAGACACAATGTAACTTGTAACATCCTTTGCTACAGCTCTTCCTGGTCCCCAGTCATGGAAACTTACCTGTTGCTATGGAGATGGCTCTGCTGCTGGCCCATTTGGCTCTTTGGGTCCAGCCCCTCTCCTCTTCCACAAAGTGCTTTATGGCACAGGAGTACATCCATTCTGTCCATGCTTGGGCCCAGAGTTGTTGGGGAGGTGGTCTGACATTCAGTCTGCGTAAATATACTATGCAATCATTTTTCTGAGGTCTGGCTGCCTGCCTGGTGTTCTAAGAAGGATACAAAACACAAGAACCCTCTGTTCTCAAATCCTATAAACCTTTTAGAGGTTTGGCCATTTCCTAACTTGAGCCTAACTTGGAGACTAGAACTCAGAGCCTCCCAACAGAGCTACCAGGGTATGTAATCACCCAGGCTCCTTCCACTCCCAGGAAAGGGGATTGACTTCCTGTACATATGCAGACACAGAGGTATGAAGGGAGCCTTTCCTCTACCTGAGATGTTTTGTGTAAGACATCTGTGTAGACCAGGAGCTGGCAAACTATTGTCCCTGTAGCAAATCTGGCTTACCATCTGGTTTTGTAAATAAAGTTTTATTGGTACACAGTCGCACTTACTTATTTACATATCACCTCTGGTTTTTTTTTTGTGTGTGTGTGTGTGTGTGCTACAGTGGCAGAGCAGAATAGTTGCAACAGAGGCTTTATGACCCACAAGACCAAAAATGTTCACTCCCTGCTCTTGATTTGTAAAAAAAAAAAAAAAAAAATCTCACTGACCTTTTCTGTGAACTTTTATGACACAAAAGCATAAAGACTTCTACCACTTTCTGCTTTTAGATCTCTCTCCTAAAGCCATAATCACAGGGTGGCCCTGCCATTTGAACATGGGAAATGGCACAGGGAAAAGCATATCCCAAAAGAATCATTTAATGTGTTCAAAATGTCTTGCTGCCAACAGGTACGTGCAGTTTGTGAAAACTCATGGAACAGAACAGTTGTGATTTGAGCCCTTTTCACCCTTATGCTGAATTTCAACCGAAAGTATAGAGTACAAAAAAAAAAAAAGAAAGAAAGAAAGAAATCTTATTCTTTCCTAATGTTCTTGGCATCTTGAAGATCAATGGAACCATTGAGGTTGCCTTGGGTAGAGTCCTCTGAGGACAATACCCCAGGGCCAGGAGCTGGGCAGAGCCATGCTTTGTCCAGAGAGATCAGTGTCTTGCTGCTCTACTTTGATTCCCCCCTACACATGTGGACTTGGCCAATGAACCCAGCCAGGTCTCCAGAATTGCTTAAAATCCCATCTAGGCACAGAACACTGGGGACTCAAGACTGTGGCACTGACCATGTGTGAAGTCACACTAGCCCTGATTAAGATGGCACAGCCAGGATCTAAATGGTCTCCACCAAAAGCCCATGAGCTAGTGAATTAATCATTCTGATTCTATTCATCATAAAGTAAATGAGAGCATTTATTTACTCATCTTGAAACTTGGTAACCTCTAGAGTATCCCAGGAGTCATTTAAAGATCTTCGTTTTAGAGAAGTAAGAAAAGAAAAAACACCAAATTTCCCTTGGAGTTGTCTGTATTACATACACATCTTTGCTGAACTGATGTTGCTGTGTTCTGTTTCCAGATGTCCTTGATTTACAGTCCTTGGATGCATTTTTCTCATGGCTCACTGAAACATGCCTTCAGTGTGGGGCTGGGGTTGCCCAGGATGGTCTGGAAGAGCAGAAGGGGTTGCTTGAGGGATCTCTTCCCACGCATGTCTGCTCTGGCAAGAGGGACAGCTGAGAAGTGCCCCTGCTGTTTGCACAGAACAGCTGGCTAACGCAGACCTCCTCCTCCCTTCTAGCCCTGGACCTGGAGGCACACACTGCCTGGGTGCCAGCGTGGAGCATGCCGTCTGCGAGAGTCTTCCCTGTCCCAAGGGTCTGCCCAGCTTCCGAGACCAGCAGTGCCAAGCACACGACCGACTGAGCAGCAAGAAGAAGGGCCTGTTGGCAGCAGTGGTGGTTGATGGTAAAGGCACATGCGTGGCAATTCACAGTGGCTTCCTTCCCCACTCTCCCAAGCACAATAAAAACCACCTGAGGAGACTCTTAGGACCCACCTCAACCCCGCCAGACCCACCAGCAGAATGCTCCGGTGCTATGCCAACACCAGCCCTGGCCTCACTTCTGGAGCAGGGGCTTGATCTTGAGTGACCCAGCTCTCTAAGAGCTCCCAAAGCAGCTCTCAAGGCAGTGGGTCATATTCATCCTGTCCCCCCATTTGTAGCAACTTGGGAATTCAGGAAGCCTGCCCCCTGCATCATGTACTGAGGGACAAGGACAAAGTTGGAGAACAAGGCTTTATAGGAGTGGGAGTGTGTTTGCGTATGTGCTACTTTGCTTTCCAACATTCGTGCTTTCCTGCACTGCTTGTCATGGTTTATTTTGGATTGACTTTTACTTTTTGGGCTGTTGGGGAAAATTTTAAAGACAGTGTAGAAATAGGAAAGATGATAATAAGCACAGGTCACATTTTCTTTCCAAGGATTTTCTTCCAGATCAAGAGACTACACCCGCAGGCTGTTGCCAGAATTTCTAATGACTGATAAAATTTGAGGTGGTGGGTCATGTTTGTTTATTGTAAGTGAGGAGACCTCAGGGTCTAGTTCGGGTTGTTTTCTTCCCCCCTCCCCCCCCCCCGCCCATGTAAAACTCTTCCTCTTCAGGAAACAAGACTTTGTGTTGTAATGCTGACAATATGGTCCCATTTACCAATCATACTGCATGCCAGGCACACGTTAGCTCTACATACATCATCTCATTGAATATGCAAAACAAGCTGTGCAGAAGATGAGAGGTGACAGGTTACGTGACATGTCTAAGCTCCTACAGCTGACAAGAGGCAGGGAGGAAGCCAACCCCAATTCCAAAGAAGTAAAGTTGATTCTAAAAATAACCAGTTATCATCTGGCTCCCAATGCTTGAAGAAGACAGAAACCATGACTTCATGGGTGCAGAGTGAGGGAGACTTAAGAAGAACTAAAGCAACTGGGCCTGATTTTCAGACAACTTCTAAAGTATTTTACAGAAGAATGATGTTTTGGCACCAGGTCTTGGGTTTTTTCCCTGTGATGGGAAGAACCTTTGAAATCTCCATTTTGCTCTCTGAGATTACAAGTTCATATGTACACAGCTGTTTGAGGGTAGCAGGCATCACCAGCAACAGCAGCTTCAGCTTCTCAGCTTTTAGCCCAAAAGCCTGACCCATCAACTTTGAGCTGAACTGTGAAATGACACGTGATGTTGTAAGTGATAGCAGGTAATACCAACCAGCTTGTGTGGGGACTCATTCAGAAGTATTGGAGAGCTCCCCCGACATTTTCCTTATTTAAAAAGAGCACCACCTCCAGGGGCTGGGTAATTGTAGCTGCGCTACAAGAGGAGACCAGGGGCTTCCCACCATCTCAGGCACATTCTGACTCCTAATCTGGAGCAAGATAGTTGCAGAGAGAGCCTGCCATTCTTCCAACTCAGTGGCCTTTCCTGATGAAAAGCAGCCTCTTTCTGAACCTGCAGCTGTGCCCCAAAGGCCAGATAAAGACACTTTTTGACCTCCTTTTTGTCGTCTCCCTCGTTACTGAAGCCAGAAGAGATCCAGTCTAAGACAGACTCACCCCTTTTTCACCACCACTCACCTCTGTGCATGAGGTTGTTATTCTTTCTTTGGTTGCTTGCTTCACTTTTAAGTTCTCCTGCCTTATTTTTTCAATGCAGAAATCCCACTTCAATGTCTGTTTTTCCAGAGATTTCTCCAAGTCCAGCTTAAACTTCTACTTTACTTCTAACCACTTTTGGATGGCTGAGCTCTCTGGTTGCCTTATCATCACAGTGGCTGAGACTTCTGACTGCCCGGATCCCCTATCCAGGAAGCCTCACCGAGGCTCTATGGAGACCTTGCTGGGTTTAGAATACATCTTTTCACTCACTTGCTTTTGATTTCTTTCTGTCCAAGTAATAACTAACTATAGCTATAGTGCCACTGCCTTTGATCTGAAAAGTGCAACCCAATTTGATAAGGACAACTAATGGGGCCATAAGTGTTTTGCCCTTGAAGGAGAGACCCCAAGTTCAGGGCTTTGCTCGGGTGACTCGACACGTTCTCCTCTGGGGTGGAATCATCATGACTTCTTGCATATTTGGCTTCATTTCTCTCTCAAATATAAACAGAAGCCAGCTTTTTTAAAGGAGCATTTCACAAGGGTGAACACAAAATAATAAATGGCCAATTCAGAAGGCAGATCATAAGTGTTCTTCTCAAAACTCACTTTATAAAAGGCACAATTCTAGCTCAGCCGTGATAGGAACGATTCCTGTGGTTGGGCTCCGGGCTCTTCTGAAGCCCATTATGACTACCCTATTCATAACATTGCTATCGCTGCGGAATTCTTTGGCGAGTGACGCATGGTTCAAGAAAGGAGAAGCAATATTTTTTCTTTTCTTTCTCCCTCTCTCTCTTTTTTTTTTTTTTAAAGAATTCTTGCAGAGGTAGACTTTCCAAGGGGGAACTCAGGACCACAAGTCCATACCACCTCCAAAAGAAGACAAAGGCTCTCCTTAGAAAAGATTTCTATGTGGAAAAGGCTTCAGACAGAAACCCATTGAGGTGGCCAGTTGCCAAACCCACCCTGTTCCTGCCTTCCCCGTGGAATCTCATGGACGTGGAAACCTTTAAAGGTTCAGTCCTCTCTACCCAGGCCAGCAGCAGGCTGCATGCCCATCTCAGTGTCAGAAGGCTTGGCGAAGGCCGAATCTAAACATGGTGGTGTAGTCCCAGCTCCTTCTCCCTGAAATTGCAGAACCCCCTCGGGATCTGAGCGTCTGGGGGATGAGGGACGTGATAGTTAGGGCTCTCTGGCTCCAACTCAGCCAGGCTTCCCAGAGCTGCTTAATGAAAAAGAAGGAAGCTGTGGCAAACATACAGAGTATCTCAAAGGACCTAAGGGTCAAACGAGGGTCTGGGCCCAGGGCCTCTGAAAATGTCAGGACCTTCCTCCATGGCCTCCACTGTCCTGACCAGCTGCCCCCACTGCAGACTGTCTCTCATAGCTTGTCTGTGTGCAGGCTGATAGAGCAGCCCACAGCACCTCTTAGGTCAATCCACATCCCTTATCCAAATCCTCAGGGGCCAGGTATGGTTCTGAATTAGAGGATTTTATGGTTATAAAGGTAATAACAGTACATCAACCAAATATGAATACACCTGGTGAGATCCTGGGAGCCACCCTGTGGTAAGACATACAGACATCTCTACCAGGAAACCTAAGGAAAGCCTCACTGAGGAAGATACTAACTCGTGTTAGTCAAGGGCGATTTTGCTTCCAAATATGTTTGCAAGTGTTTCCAAATATAAAGAAACACTTGAAATTTTCAAAGCTTTTTATATTTCTTTATTTAAGAGCTTTTTATTTTTCCACAAGCCTTCCTTGGGAATCCATCAACCATGAGGATAAATAAGCTCTTTATATCTAAATTCCACTACTGAGATCTCAGGAGAGAGGCTCTGATGGATCTGGCCACAGTTAGGTAATCACTCTTGGTCCAGTCAACAGAGCTAACCGTCAGGCCCTTGAGAAGCCAGTTTGCCCACAGACAGACCATTCTTGGTCAGGATTTCGTCTCAGCACACACCAGCCATGCAGGAGACTGGAGGAATGCTCCAAGTGTCTTTCTTTTAAGCGTGTGACTGTATAAAGTTTGAGAAGATTTGACCACTTTCTGTATTACTGGAGATATAAGAGTATTAACACTGCTCAAAACTGAGACTCACCATCCCATGTTACTTATTAGGGTCTTTAATCTCTGAGATTAATTTTCTTAACTATGAAAGCCTAAAGAGGAATATAATAGAGAGTTCTGAAGAGCTCGGACCACCTCCTCACATTGCAAAAAGGTTATATCCTCAGTCCCTCTGGGAGATAGTGCTGGAGGTGGGGATCACTCTGAATTGTGAGTGGCATCCTTAGAAAAAGAGATAAACAAATGGAGGGAGTTCCACCCAAGCCAAGGAAGGAAGCCACACCTCTGGACTCTGTTCTATAGCCCAGGTAATCTAGACTGCCAGGGACATGGAGGGCAGTGTCTATTGGGTGAGAGAGTCAAGTACAGCTGGAGTAGAGTGTACCTTCTTGCCTGGGGTCATGGCCAGTATCCATTAACTGAGGTTACTCCTCCTGCTTTTAGTCTCTACTTGTCTGATTCTCATACCAAAAAATTCAGACAAGCCACCTTCCTTCCTTCCTTCCCAGACTGGTTTTACCAACTTTCCTCAAACTAGCCTCTATTTTTCTACCCATATCCCTTTTCCATTTCTACTTGAATGAGAGTATACACTCAGAAACTAGAAATATCTGTGAACCTAGTGAACCTAGTGACTTATTTTCAGCAGTGTCATTTTGCCCCTGGTGTTTTGGTCCCAAGAGTTGTGCATTCAGAGAGTGGGTGGTGATGACAGAAAGAGAGCTGGGCTGGAGTGAAGAGGTCGGGTGTGGCCTGATGGCTGAGGCCCCATGAATGCACGTTCCGTGTGCTCCACGTGTTCTGTATGCTTGTCTGTATTATAGGCAAATGAACAGCATGCACCTAAAATGTGTAGACACAACTTAGCATGCTGTCTGGCATATAGTTGATCATAAATATTATATATGATTTTGCCATAATCAATACCATTGTTATGGAATATCATTTACTCCCAGTATTGAGTTTGGACTTCAGCCTAATGGTAATTAACATCCACAGTTTCAAAGCCCTTTGATTAAGGGACAGTTCTTTACAGTGAAACTTTAGGGTTAGCACAATATGAGCAGTAGACACCCCAGCCCATTCAGACTAAAGGGCCGTGTTGCTTGATCTCCCCCTCTGGTTCCTACAGATGCTCACAGGGAACCTCAAATGCTCCCCCACTAAAATACCTCAGTAATATTGTCAGATGAGCTTCCTAGAAGTCAATTTCAATTTATGTCTCCATCTTCCATAGTTCTACTGGCCGCTTCCTTGGGCCATTCTCTCCAAATGGAGAGCCAGCCACCCACAACCTGCCAGCATAGGAAATGAGTCATTCCTTCTAGGGTTAAGTCCAGCCCTCCCAGAGCTCATTCATTTCATGGGACTTGCCACATTTTACCTTATCCAGGATTTGTTCCATTCTTATCCTTTTTTTAAAATTTTTTAAATTTTTTTTTCAGAGAGAGATTTTTCAATATTTATTTTTTAGTTTTTGGTGGACACAACATCTTTATTTTATTTTTGTGTGGTGCTGAGGATCGAACCCAGCGCCCCACGCATGCCAGGTGAGTGCGCTACTGCCACATCCCCAGCCCCATACTTTGTCCTTGAGACCATAGGGCCTCGAAAAGGATGCTTTATTTATTCTTCTTTTCCCAGCAGAGCCTACAGAGTACCTCGTGTGAGGGAGGGGCTCAGGCCAAGCTTGTTGGTTGAGTAAGTGTTGAAGCATCATTATGTGGCCAGTCTACGGAGTTTTTTCCCCACAGTGAGCTGAAAGAATTGAATTGAGCACTTCCTTCAAATCCCTGGAGCTTCTTTCTGAATGGGTTGACCAGTGACTGTCATCCAATCATGATTCCCATCCCATCCGTGCTTCAGACTGAAGGCATAGGTTAAGAATTCCTTATGCCAAATGCTTTGGACCAGAAGAGAATTTTTTTTTCTTTGAGGTGAGGATATTTACGTATACATAGTGTGATATCTTGAGGATGGGAACCTAATCTAAGCATAAAATTAGTGTTTCCTATTCACATAGCCTGAAGGTAATTTTACACAGTGTTTTAGTGTGCCTGAGTTTTGACTCTTGCTACTTCATGAGGTCAAGTGTGAAATTTTCCATTTGGAACACCTTGGATTTTGGATTTTCAGATTAGGGTGCTCAACCTATAATTAAAATTCATCCTGTTTCCATGTGCAATGGGGCCTGCCTTGTAAGAATAGGTTTGTGTATGGAATTTGTTCAAATAATTATAGGACAACAAGGGGCTTTAAAGGAAATGTATGGAAAGTGCACATAGAGGGGCCTGTCCTCCATGTCACAGCAGGTAGGAGAAGTGAGAGCTCTGGGCTAGAAGTTTCCAGGGTCGTGGGAGCTTTATAGAAAGCCAAGCACAAGGATGGATTTGCAGGCAGAGGAAACAACCTAGGCAAACTTATGAGAGCCGGACACTCACGTGGTTCCAGGAGCAGCGGGAACCAGAGTTTCCATTCTGCCTGGTGACACAGCCAGTGGCCCCTGTGTCACCTTTCTGTACCTTATTCCTGCTCAGTTTCTTCTAGGACCCTTATGCCTCATACCATAGCTCTGCAGCTGTTACCCAGCCACTGGGGCAACCCTAAAGCTTTTAGTGAAAGCCACTGTCATCAAGACCCCATGGATCTCACTGCACTCACCCAGGGACATTCTCATTCACCTTCCCCTCCTTCCCTGCCCCGACACTAGCAGTGGCTCCTGGGCTCACCCTTAACACACAGTCAACTTTCATAGAGGTACCTTTGTTCACCTGATGTGTTTATTTGTAAAGGATAAAGAGAATATGGAAGAAAACCCACACTATCGGTTACCTGAGTCTGAGGGTGTTGACCCATGTGCTGTGTCAGGTGTTCAAAGGAGCTGGTACCTGTATCTGAAGATGCACACAGAGTTTCAGGGACTTGTATCTACCTTGCCAATCTCTTCCTTGGGCTTGCCCATCACCCATGTGTGCCTCTTCTTGCAAGGCCCACATGTTTTTCCCCATGTCAACATCTGCCAATCTTTCCCTCCTCAGATAAGCCGTGTGAGCTCTACTGCTCACCCCTTGGGAAGGAGTCGCCGCTGCTGGTGGCTGACAGGGTCCTGGATGGCACTCCCTGTGGACCCTACGAAACTGACCTCTGCGTGCACGGCAGGTGCCAGGTGATGTGCTTTTCCTTATGTCCTGAGTGGGGCCTTGGAGAGAGGATCCCTCTCCCCAAAGGGGGATCATGGTGGAGTCAAGCCATGGTGGGAGGTTGGGGGAGTGGATTTCTCAAGGAGACACCTGATGGTCCTCCTTTCAGCAGCCAGCTGCACCTGGCCCACTCCCCTGCTCTGGGCAGTGACAGAGCCTAAAGCCCAGATGGAATCAGATGATTGAAACAGCAGCAGCATAACCATCTCAAAGCTTTTTCAATTGCTTTAGACATCATGACCATAAAAAAGAGCCGGTAGGTGTTAAATGAGAATGGAGGATGAATGGAGAAGCTGTGTTCTGTTTAGCTGCAAAAGGTTTAGTGAAACTAAGCAACCACCATTGACAAGTTTCACTACCCAGGGAGGTGGATATAGGCCTGGCTTTGGGGAGCACTCCACTCATTGGTATATAGACCCCAAACCTATCAAAATGGGTTGTTAGAACATTGAGAAATTAAGAGAGAAAAAACAAAATTTGAAGGGGGTTGGGAAAGAGGAGAGGAAGGAAGGAAACACCCCCTGACCACTCAGATCAATATGAGCATATAGAGGAGCTCTGGTGTCTGAGTCACTGTGGCTGCTGTAACATATCAATATCAATAATATCAATAATAGAAGTTTATTACAGCTCTGGAGGTAGGGAAGTCCCAGTCAAGGCTTTGGCTGACTTGGTGTCTGAAGAGGGCTTGTGTCTATAGATGGTGACTCTTGGTCCGTCCTTAGAGGGGTAAGAAAGCTCTCTGGAACCTCTTTTATAAAGGCAATGATCCCATTATGAGGGCTCTGCCTTCATAAACCAATCACCCCGGAAGACCCCCACCTCCCGATCCCATCACCTTGGGAGTGAGACTTTCAGCACAGGCATTTGGAGGACACCAACATTCAGAGCGTAGCGTCCGGGAACCCTCCTTCCTCAGCTGCAGTCGCTTGGTCTGGTCATGGCTACAGCCACATTCCCTCAACTGTGCCTCGGCAGGTGAGCCCACCATGAGCTGTTGGAGATGGTGGCTCAGAATCACCATGCCTCTGGTATAGGATGGAAGACGAGGGCTTCCAATATTCACACTTCCTTTGGCCTCCATTCACCAACCCCTGTGAGTCTAATCAAGGAGTTCACTTGCCAAGGGCCATCAAGGAATTAGAAAATTCTATGCATCGATTCTATTAGAAAAAGAAAAACTGATTCCCAGACACCACATGGCTCTTCCTGCTTCAGTTTCCATACCTTCCAATGCTGACACCTATCCTTAATGCTTAGTTTCAAGGAGATCTTCATAGTATTTGAAAAAAAAATGGGAATCCCTGGGGTCATGGTGGGGAGACACTGTTGTCCTCACTTAATTGTGGTATACACAAGTTGGTGAATAAGCTTTGGGTCCGCTGGCCCATGCAGGAAGGCAGCAGACCTGCTTTAGTCTCTTTGCTTCTCCATTGCCTAACACAGTGTGTACACATCAGTGTTTTGTGAGTGAATGATAAACAAAAGGAAGAAATAGATAGAAAGACAACAGCTCGGCTGTTCCTGCAGCAAGCCCTTCAATGAGAATGGGTTTTTTTCCTGCACAGTCCAAGCCAGTTCTAAAATGAGGCATTTCAGGGGAAAAGCTAACCAATGTCCAGGCCCCTTTGGCACTACCTCACTTTGTTATCAGATACAGATAAGTGTGGCCAATAAACACTTGGTGCTGAGAGTCTTGGCAAGGCAACCCACCAGGAAAGAAGACAGCAATGAGTTCCTGGATGGGGTGCTCAGGGCTGCTTCCTTGCTGCAAAAAGTGATCCAGAACCTTCCTTTTGGACAATGTGAACAGGATTCTTATGGTTATTACTGAAAAGAAGCAAGGCTGACAGTTATTGGTAAGCCTGCTGGCAAGCCAAGTGCAGGGTTTGTTTTGTTCCTAAACTGCACGCTTGCCTGGGCCACCCTGCTTACTGTTGTGTTATAGACTAATGCCCTAATTCATTTGCTAACAACCTCCCAAATCACAGATCTTATACATTTAGAGCTGCACCAGCTCAGCAATCCCAGATCCCTTGACAGCATCTTCTATAGTATTCACGCCAATGGGGAGACATTTCTCAGAAACCTGAAATTCTCWAGCCAATTATGAGAGACAATTTCAGGTCCTAGTGGTCTATGCCAATGGGCCTCTTCCATGACCTTATTTTTAATCCCAACCTTTTTATCTGGGGAATTGTCCCTGTAGCTTGACAGTGGAACTGTCAGTCCTCTAGTAAGTGGAACAAAGGCAAAATGTCACTCATGCCATTTGAGTAGCCTTAAATCTGTGGAGGTCTGGTACCATGAAACGCAAGCCTATTCTGCTATTTTGTGGTGTCTTAGCCAATTTGGGCTGCAGTAGCAGAATACCACAGCCTGAATGGCTTTCAAAAATCAGGCATTTCATCTTAGTGTTCTGGAAGCTAGAAGTTCAAGATCTAGGTGTTCGCATGTTCGGTTCTGGTTGAGGCCCTTCTTCCAGGTTGTAGACTGCTCACTTGTTGTGTCCTCATGTGGTGGCCGATTCTCTTAAAGGCACTAATCACATTCACAAGGGCTCCACCCTCATGAACTAATCACCCCCAAAGGCCCTATCTCTAGATACTGTCATGTTGGGACTTGACATATTCATTGGGGACAGGGGCACAAACAATCAATACATTGCTGATGTGATAGGAATGACATTAGGGTACATGTCTTCCCATTCCTGGATGCTACTCCATCCCCATGGAACCCTCTTTTAGTAAATCTACAGTGCCTCAGCCACTGTCACCATCATTGCACTTTTTATCAGCTGCACTGAGCCTATGTGAACCAGTGAGTGGGCACAGAAATGTAGACGATGGCATCTTTCCCAATGCTCCATGGCATGTGATGCTTCTCCGTAGCCTCACCATGCCAGCCAGGAGGCTGCACCTGTGCCCTTTCTTCTGGATGGATATGCCCTGTTGGCCAGCTGCCTCAAAGCATCCCGTTTGTCCTAGCAAAAGGGCCACCTCCTCATAGGTGGCAGCAACACTTGCCTGCCAACACCTCACAAGATTAAAACTCTGAGAAACAGTTTGCTTTTTGAAAGAAGTTATACTCCATCTGCCATTTTTTCTAACACTATTCTTTTTTAGACAGGTGAAGATTAACCTTAGTTTACTCTTCAGTCAAATCTCACAGAACTCCAAATTATTAAAGGTGTAGTGAATGAAGTTTATCCTAAAATTTTGAGCATACTTAAGATTATAAGTTTAATACAAATACAGTATTTATGCCTCATTCCAGTAACTGCCAACATGGAATGATCTGCATTCCTGTGGTACCAAAGAATGAGTAATGCAAGGAAAATTGGTTAAAGAAAATAATAGTAATCGTAACTTAAGGGGGAAAAAAACTAACAACTCTAGTGAGCAGAGGAGCTGTATTTATTCACAGATGTATTATTTGATTGCAATGGAGAAAAGATAGAAACCATTTATATTTTCTTTAAGAGAGAAGTTACAAAAATACTGCCATTGTTTGCTTACTCACTTTTCCCTATGTTCCCTGAGACTATAAATTTTACTATTTTAGGGTAGCTAAGGAATCCTGGGAAATTTTAGGGAACACAGTAACTAGTTGGTCAGATGCAAGGCTTCAAAATGGCATTGTGAGTAGATTCCACTAAGCTCCAAATAGCAGGCTGATTCAAACCATAATATGAAACATGGAAATACCATTTTATTCCATTTTTATGAGGACTAAGTTGTTTCGCTTCAGTGAGTCACAAATTGCTTAACATGTTGAAATTCAACTTAACAGCACTCATAAAAGTGGGAGGGAATTGGGGGAAGAAACAAACATATTTTCAACATGCCTTATAAATCAGGAGTCCTATCATCCATGATTCTAGTGTTGGACTCCAGAAGCAAAAAACCCAAGGCAACAAGTCTCTGATATATAACTTGCTTCTGGAACTACAAACATAAACTGGGTAGGTCAAAGAGACACATGACTTTGGAGAGTGGATAGATCCAGATAAGCCTGAGACCCAAATATTCTTGATTTTCTTGAACACTGTTTTAGCTGATATACACTGTAGTCAGCCTACTCTGATGAGGGGCATACTTCCTTGGGACCACGATTTGTACATCATACCAATGAACCAAACCAAAATACTTGTAAGCTTCTTCAGTGGAGGAAGTATGTCTGATCAATATGTGTTCCCCTGTGAGCTGGCTTCCAAGTAAAGTTTTGAAAAAATATACATTTGAAAATAATATATATTTGATATATATTGAAAAAAGAACAAAATGATTAGGTAGATAAGGGAATGAATCAACTGCTCTTAGGACTTTAGTGATTCTAGAATCTGGAGTGCATGTCAATGGACCGTTTTCATTCTCAAGATTTATTGGCCTCCATTTTGTTTTCAAAGGTCTACCCAGTAAGTCAAATTACTGGTGGAATATGGGTCTATCTGGTGGGAATAGGAGAGAATTGTAAGAGACTACTCCGGCCTCAGAGTACTCTATATGAAGAAGGAGTAACAGACATGCAGGACAGTGGACTAGGCATGCATACTTAGGCTTGTATTTTAATAATGCCCTCCTACTTGCTGCTTTTGATACTTTATGACCCTATGGCTGGTATCTCCAGCCTGTGGTTGCCAAACCTTTATGGATAAACATTTCCATCCAGAACCCCACATCAAGGAATATATACCAAATACAAACTGTATCAATGAAGAAAAAGAGGCCTGTGGACAAAAGAAATTCTCCACCTCTTTCTAGAGGTCAAAGTGGATGGAAGTGTCATTGCTGGAGCAGAGCAATGTAGGCCAGAATGGATGCAATGGAGAGTTGTAACCAGAAAGAAAGCAGAAGTTAAGAGCCTTGGACTTAGGAATGGTGGGTAGAAGTGAGAGTTGGCTAAAAATAATGAGCTGAGCCAAGGGCTGCATACTATATGGCTGCCCATGCCCGGCCCTGCAGGT